ACGCTTAACCGACTGCGCCACCCAGGCGCCCCCAGACTAGGGGTTTAATCCCACAACTCGGATCTTGACCTGAGCTGAAGTCAAGAGTCAGACGCTCAACCAGCTGAGCCACCCAGGTGCCTTGTAGTCTGATTTAAATAGGATTTCTTTGGAATGTTACATAGTAGTTGCTAACTAAGGTTGTCCAGGTGGTACTTGCTGGTTGATACTTCTAGGAATTGAACTTGCTGGTTGATACTTCTAGGAATTGAAGATAAAAACTTTTTTTGGCTACTCATTAATAGCTAAGAGCAAGGTAGAGGAAAGTTGAAACTCTAGCCGCCATGAAGTTAGGACATTATCTAATCTATGCAAGTCAGTTAGGTTTGCTCTGAGTTTTGGCCAGAGATTGTACTTGAGTTTAAAGCTGTCTCGTTACACAAATGGATGACTTTGGTTATGGATATCGGGGAGGGAAGGTGAGTTCTGATTGTTTATTACTCATCAAAAAATTGTCTCTGGGAAAGCATATGTCATGCAGAGGGTAGGTTGTGTTGCTTTTATACGTAGAATTATATCCTCTCTGTATGTGTGTGTCTAGGGACCACTTCATGGCTATATCCTGTTTGATCCTGTTTAACGTCATTTTATTATCTGGAGATGTTGAACGTCATGAGGTCTCTTCTAGTCCCTCCAAATCACTAGCCACTTTGTAGTTTCCCTCCAGAATTCCTTTTCATCAATGCAACCCTTAGATTGCTGGTTGTGCTTGTGTCTACCCCTGATCCCCTTAGTCATTTGTGACATTGGCTGCTTTTGCCTACTGTTTGTGTTGGAATTCTTAATCTAGAGTGGGTGTGTGAATGGTCTTTAGTGAGTCAGTGAAGTCCCTGAAAGTATATGGAATTTTTTTGTTCTGGATAGTTCATAACTTCAGTAGATCCTTGGTAGTCTATGATCACTGAAAGGATTAACCCATATGTTGCTGACTCCTACTCTGCTTTTCTAGTCCAGAATTCTCTGAGTTCCAGATCTAGATTTCCACCTGCCTATGTGATTTTCTGTGAATGTCCCATAAATACTTCAAACTCCACAGGTCCCAGCCTAATCCAATTTTTACCCTCCAAACCTGTTTTTCCTGTAACAGGAAGTGGGGACCTGGGCATCAGTGTCATCTCTCCACCCTCATACTACCCATCTAGTTACTTTCCGAGTCATACTGGTTCTGCTTCTGAAATGACTTTACATTTGTTTCTTTCTCTGTGTTCCCATTGCCATTGTCCCCTGGTAGGCCCACATTACTTTTCCCCTGAACCACTACATAAGGCTTCCTGTCTATAGACTCTCTCCCTGTCCAGTCCGTTTTCCATTCTGCCACATTCATCTTTTTTCTTTTTTCTTTTTTTTTTAACTTTATTTATTTTTGAGAGAAAGAGAGCGTGAGTAGCGGAGGGGCAGAGAGAGGGAGACACAGAACTGGAAGCAGGCTCCAGGCTCTGAGCTGTGAGCACCGAGCTCAACCTGGGGCTCGAACTCACGAGCAGTGAGATCATGACCTGAGGTGAAGTCAGAAGCTTAACCGACTGAGCCACCCAGGCGCCCCTGCCACATTCATCTTTTTAAACACAAATCTTTTCTTTTTTTTTAATTTTTTTTTTTTCCAACGTTTATTTATTTTTGGGACAGAGAGAGACAGAGCATGAACGGGGGAGGGGCAGAGAGAGAGGGAGACACAGAATCGGAAACAGGCTCCAGGCTCTGAGCCATCAGCCCAGAGCCTGACGCGGGGCTCGAACTCACGGACCGCAAGATCGTGACCTGGCTGAAGTCGGACGCTTAACCGACTGCGCCACCCAGGCGCCCCTTAAACACAAATCTAATCACATTTCCAGGCGAAAACCTAACATTGACTGTCCGGTATCTAAAAGGAATAGGACCCTTCGGATCCCCCCATAATCTATTCTTGATGAGTTTCTAGTGGCATCATTTACCCTTTCCTAATCCCTGAACATTTTTTTTCTAGCCACATAGGCTTTTTCCATTCTCCAAACATGACATGCATGTTCCTACCTTCTCCCTCAGGCATGTGCTGTTACTTGTTCTCCCACACCCATTCGTGAGCTCCTTCCTCTCATCCTTCCATGCTTGGTTCAGGCAGCATCTCTTGAGGTCTTTCTCAGCCCCTCTAGTCAGACTGAGATAGTCCCTCCTTTCATAGCAGCTTTTGCATAAATGCTGTTGTATTCACCTGCTATTTTTCCTACCGGTCTGTGAACTGCTGAGGAATAGAGTTCCTGCCCATAGTCATCTGTATTTCTGTACCATCTAGCATGGCTCCTGGCACATAATAGGTGCCCTTTCTTGCCCCTGAATGAGTCAGTGAAAACCACCAGCGCGTCAATCATGAGGTTATGTTACAACTTGTTTTGTATTATCATTACCTTGTCACACTGTTACTAGATTTTGAGTTGCATGAGGGTCAGGACCTTGTCTTATTCGTGTTTCTGTTGTTAATGCCTCACACAGTCAGTGCCATAGAACCAGTGTGTTTGAAGGAATGAACTGTAGATTTATATTCTTCACCAGTAAACCCCCTGATTTTAACTAGCTTTAGGGATTTTGTAGATATTATTTGGCTGGAAGGTGGAACCTTTTCCTACTGGAAATTAGCCGTCATTCTGTGTGTTTACCGTAGGCCAACTTAATGCTTTCCATACAGAATCTCCGGCCTCACACACTGCTGCACTTTTCGCTCTACTACCAATGTCTCCTAGGCGGTCAGTCTTGGAAGCAATAAGGATTGTCTTCCTTCCGTACACGAGATTATTTCCCAGCTCTGTTCGGAGCGCTTCTTATCACATGCTTGGGCACTCTCATATCCCAGGTAACATGCCGGCGACTGTTAATCTTCACAAAGTGGGGATGAGAAAATAGGTTCAGAGAGTCTCAGAGACTTGCCAAAACCACACAGCTAGTAAGTGGCTCAGCTGAAATTCAAGCCCACGTCTATTTGAACTCAAGACCCAGGCTTTCCCAGGAAGTATTGGGAAATGAAGCCATTTGCTTTTAGCTGTTTCTGCTCCAGCTTCTGAAGACTAGGTTAGCTGTACAATTCTGAGTAAGCTGGTCATGGCCATCATCTCTCTAAATTAACACGTGTACCATTTTCTCTCTCTGAGTTGGTGTGACAGGATCATCTTCTTTTTCAGTGATTAGAGAATTCATGGATCGGATCAATTTTTTAAAATCAACTTCATGGGGAATGACTTTATATTTTAAATATAAATTTTGAGATTAAAATGCAAGAGTATATTTTAAATATAATTTTAAATGGCTCATTTGTAAAGATTTCAAATTGTATCATGCATATATTTCATTGCTTAATAGAATTTTTCGTGAGGGAAAAGCCCTGGAAATTTCCAGCCATCTGCAAATGTTTGAACTATGTATAGCTTGTTTGGGGTATACAAAAGCCAAATATGTTTTATGGGAAGTGAGACGTGCTTCTTCTGTGGTCGTCTCTCCCAATAGAAGGCTCTAATAATTCAGTGATATTCCCTGAGGAAATGGGGTGATTTATAATAGGGTTCCTTTTGTTGGACTTCGGTATTGTGGGGCATGTGTGCCAGACCCAGGATTGATTTATTATCATGTGAAAATTTTGCTCCATCCTAGAAATGAAAGATGGAAAAGACCCACTGAGGGCCTCACAGTACTGTAAGATCCTACTCGCTTCGTCCAGCTTGCACATGGCTTTGTCTGCTTACAGTGACTCCGGCACCCCCCCACCCCGCCCCCCACCCTCGCTGCTTTGTGCCGTCGTCTCCAACTTCTGGCGATTGTGAGCTGCCAGGCACTCAGCCCCTCTTCCACCCTAGCGAGCAGAGAAAATTCTCTGTAGAGCTGGGAACAATGAGCAAAAATAAGTAGACTGGGAAATAATGAGAACTTTGAGGTGCTTTTGTGTGTGAGGATGTCTGAACTTTCCCACCTCGGTGCTTTGCCTTATTCCTGGGCATCTGTGGTTTGTCCGGCGTGGGGTGGCAGTTCTGCAGCGCCAGTCCCTTGGTCTTGATGGCATTTCCCGGGCGAGGGCACCTCTGTCCTTTCTCTCTTGTGCTTCCCTCCATCCTCACTGTCTTCCTCCCTCCCTTCACGTTCTTTCTTTTCCTCCCTGTTTGCCTGCTTTCTCTCCAGGCCAGCCAAGGGCTGTGGCCCTCAGAGACCCCACCTCATTGCACTCGGTGACACATTAGGCATCGAAACTGTGCAGACTCCTGACCACATTTTAGGCTGTTCAGCATTGGTCTTTGATTTGAGAGGTTGGAAATTTAATATTTGTGTTGATGCATTATGTGGTCTAATGGAAGTCATTTAATCATCTTATCTTTCATTTCTCCAATAGTAGAAATTAAAATAATTGTTAACATCATATGTTCTTGGATCTTCACCTTCATGGCTTTTGATTCAGACTAACAGCTTATTTTCGTCTTTAAGTAAGAAGCTTTGTAAAGCTGTTTAATATGACATTGGTGAGTTCGATGGGAGAAAGTTATCATGATCATGAAAGCAGGCGCTCCGTGTACCGTCAGAGTTGTGCTATACTGGGGTGCTGGGTAGAACAAAACAAATAGCACCATTGCCCTCCAGTAGCCTTTCATCTGGAATTTACGATAATAACTGGCAGGGACATCAGGACCTCAGTTAAATACGTTTGTGAATTAAATATTTACATTATTTACTAACAAAGGATATCTGTAATCACTGCAGAGGTGGCTAAAGACTGGGTTTGGGCATGTGTATATAAAGGAAAATGTAGACCCTTTGCTGACTCAGTGATTGGAGGAGACCGTTGGAGGAGAGTGTGGGATTTAACATTCCCGCCTTCTGAATGTTCTCATCTCTTCAGCATTCTCTGCTATGCCTGCAAGATAAGTCCACATTCCCTAGCCTGCTCCAAAGGACTCCCCAGGACAGGAACCCCGCTCCCTAGCCTGACTGCTCTGTGCTCTCCAGCCCTGACCTCCCTGCCTGGCTGGGCTTCTCTTTGCTGTCCCTCTGTCCTCTTGTCCCCCACAACTGCCACATGGGTTGTGTCTTTGTGTTGCAGCCTGGGCCTAGGCTATGTTTTGCATCATTCATATCCAAAAGGGGACATCGAAATGTACAAACAAAGCAGCTATCACATAGGTGACCATCAACTAGTTAGAGAAAAGGGATATTAATAATCCCCTCAAATAGGAAAGACATAATCTTAAAGAAAGGCTAATTGTTTAAATTGAAATAGATTTAGTTGTTTTTTTTTTTAAACTCAATACTTTCTCCATTGTCACATCTTTACTGAGAATGAGTAAATATTTCATCAGTGACAAGCTTTCGGGAACCACTGAATCAGTCACTTGCTCTTTCATAGGCATGCAACTGATTGGCGCACTTCTTGTATTTTTTCATATTTTGTTGTTTTATAATTGGATATGTTTTCTTCCTTTGAAAAGGGCAAGTGTTTTATTAACAGCATCTGTGTCGTGCTCTTTGTATGCTTGGCACACATGAGATGTGCACCCTAGTGGTTCAGGTTGACGTGTATGTGCTTTTTGGGTGGGGAGAATGGAGAGTGGTCAGGGCTCAGGGGAGGGGCTCAGTGGAGGAGACGCTTGGTGTGCTTCCAGGAGAACCTCAGCGGGAGAAGACATTGAGTCTGGTTGTTTTTTTTTTTTTAATTTTTTTTTTTAAATCTTTATTTATTTTTGAGAGAGAGAGAGAGAGACAGAATATGAGCAGGGGAGGGGCAGAGAGAGAGGGAGACACAGAATCCGAAGCAGGCTCCAGGCTCCACGCTGTCAGCACAGAGCCTGATGCAGGGCTCGAACTCACAAACCGTGAGATCATGACCTGAGCCGTAGTCAGACGCTCAACCGGCTGAGCCAGCCAGGTGCCCCGAGTCTGTTTTTGATGAGAATCGGGGAATCAAAACATAAGTGACAGAGAGCATATCCTACAAAAGACTGAACCAGTGATAAACTTGCTCCAGTTTGATCCTTCATGAAAAACCTGAGATTCTTGAATAGTTTTTTGACATTTTTTTCCCCACCCCTCTCCTATTCAACTGAGAATTTTGAGTTATAATATTAATTATAGTAACAGTTCTTCATCAGATGCTCAGTATATTTATAATATTTGCTTTAGGAACATAACAAGGACAAAAAAGGTCTTGACCACTTTAATCTTTCTTAGTTTGAAGGTATGCATAAAAATGAAGCAGTAAGCCAACAGCTTCATGTTTTGCGAAAAGAAGTGAAGCAGTTGCAAGCAGAAGCTGCTAAACCACCCTCACTTAATGTTGTGGAAGCTGCTGTTCACGCGGAAAACTTGATTACGTAAGTTTTGAGGGCATTATAATTTAAAATGCAGTGTTGTTATTTTTTATAGTAATCATACATGCTACTATACCCCCAGACACCCACTAATTAAATTAGTACAGGATCAGCAAACAATGGCCTTTGGACCAAGTCTGGCCTGCCACCTATTTTTATAAATAAAGTTTTATTGGAACATAGCCATGTCCATTTATTTACTTAATGTGCATGGCTTTATACCACAATGGCAGAATTGAATAGTTGTGACAATTTATGGCCCATAAAACATAAAATATTTACTGGTTGGTCCTTTATAGAGTAAGTTTGCTGACCCCTGAATTATGAGATGATACAGCACATTGAAGTTCAATCATGGAGAGATTGAGTGCTTAAGTTTTATATCAAAGTTGCATTTACCCAGGAAGTCAGCATTGTCAGCTCAGATTATAGAGCAGAGTTTGAAGGGGAATTGCTCAGGGGAATTAGGTTCTCAAGTATAGTTGCCAGCTTGCATTTGGCCATCATGGCTTTTCCCTTGGAGCTCCTGGCTTACCCTCAATGTCTTCTTTCTTCCTAAAGCCACCAGGGCATGACTTGGGAGAGTGGTTGACCCTGCCTTTTACTTTAAGGTGGTTCCACATTCTAGTACCAGCAACTAAACAGATCGGGGTAGTGGTGTGTGGGGTGGGGCATTGAGTTCTTTTGTGGATTGGACTGGGGGTCCAGGGAAGAAGGAGATGAGGTGAATAAGAAGTTGATGTGTCTTTTACTAGCAAAGGAACTCAAAACAGCCTGAGACTTAGAAGAGATATCTTTATTCTGGGATCTTATTCTATATAGAAATCTCTTTTTGTGACATGGGTTTTAAAATTTAGAGAGGGGCACCTGAGTACTCAATTAAGCATCCAACTTTTACTCAGATCATGATCTCGTGGTTCACAGGTTTGAACCCCGCGTCAGGCTCTTTGCTGAAAGCTCAGAGCCTGGAGCCTGCTTCAGATTCTGTGTCTCCCCGTCTCTCTGCCCCTCCCGGGCTCATGCTCTGTATCTCGCTCTCTCTCAACAAGAAATAAAAACATGTAAAAAGAACTATTAAAAAATTTAGAGAAATAAGTAATTAAATTAATTAAAAATGTATATTATATAAGGAATACACAAAGTTAAAGAATTATGAATTACATATAAAATATGAAACATTTAAGAATATTTAAAAAAATTTTTTGTAATGTTTATTCTTAGAGAGAGAGAAAGAGAGAGAGACAGCATGAGCTGGGGAGGGGCAGAGAGAGAGGGAGACACAGAATCTGAAGCAGGCTCCAGGCTCTCTGAGCTGTCAGCACAGAGCCTGACGCAGGGCTCGAACTCAAGGACTAGGAGATCATGACCTGAGCCGAAGTCAGCTGCTTAACTGACTGAGCCACCCAGGGGCTCCTAATAAGGGTAAGAATATTAATAATATATATGATTCCATCCCTCCCCCCCCGGAGGACATAAAATCATTTCCGTGTATTAAAAATAAGTTGTTGGGTCAAGGTAGAAGATACTTATCTACCCCATGAATTTTTTTTCCCCATGAAATATTTTTAAAGTGACATTTATTTGGGGGCTCTGAAGGACTCTTAAGAATATTGCCTGTGTGAGAAATGTAGAGTACCACGGAAGTACTTGTGAGTCTGTATTCTCTTATTGTAGACCAGTAGCCTCACCTGTATTTTCCCACAGGGCCCTAGTGAATGCCTACAAGTTGCAGCCTACCCCTGGGGTTCAGAAGGTTGGCATTAGCCTCTTCTTTACTGTTGTGGATTATGTCAGTGATGAGACTCAGCGCCATCCTCCCACAAGGCAATTCTTTACTTCATGCATTGAGATCTTGGGACAGGTAAGGTAATTCTGTGTTTTTAGCCTCACTCACATATATTGAATCTCTGTAGCATCCTCATTAGTTATAGTGAGGGTTGACTTCAGACTTCTGTTACACGTTCAGAGTCTTACATAAGTCAGAAGCCCCTTTGAATTGTTGACTTCTCAAGATGCGATTAAAATTGTTGGTATAGAATTTTGCTTCCCATACAAGAGATATTAAGTTACTCATATTTGAAAGTCTGGGAGACATCAAACTTTTTCATATGCTTTTTGTGTTATTAACAATAACAAGCTCTTATTTATAAAATGCTCTCCACTTCATCCTCACAGTGACTCTGAATGATTGATATCCTTTTCATTTTAAAGATGAAAATACAGGGGCGCCTGGGTGACTCAGTCGGTTAGGTGTCCGACTTCGGCCCAGATCACGATCTCACAGTTCGTGGGTTCGAGCCCCGCGTTGGGCTCTGTGTTGACAGCTCAGAGCCTGGAGCCTGCTTCAGATTCTGTGTCTCCCTCTCTCTCTCTGCCCCTCTCCCGCTCATGCTGTCTCTCTCTCTCAAAAATAAACATTAAAAACAGTTTAAAGATGAGAAAACAGGTCTCTAAAAAATGAAATAACTTGCCTAAAGAATATAGCTGGTCAGTGCCGGAGCTGAGCCTGTATCCCACATTGTCTGTCTCAGTCCATGTTTGCTCCACCTCTCCACTGCTGTCTCCCAGTTGCTATTCTCAGTCCCCATTTCTTGATTTGACTTACTATTAAAAATACGGGTATTTAACAAGGCAAGAGCAATGTATCCATGCACATTTGTGAAATATGTCATAAAGGAAAGCCACTTGATGGAAAATATGTAAACACTAACCATATACTCTTACCCAAATTCAATGGAATGAGTCCTTAGTTATTAGATACTTATAAGGGGACAATATAGAGCAGAAAATAAAATAGATTTTTAAGTAGTTTTTTTCCCTTGATTTTAAAATTGATGTATGCTTATGATAAGCAATGCAGACAATATAAAAAGTGTAAAGAAGAAACATTTCTCAATTCTAACCTACTGGAGATAGACACTGGTTATAGAGCTAAACATTTTATTATAGTTTATCTTGTGTATGTATGTTTATTAGTGTGTTATGTGTGTGTATGTAGAAATGATGTATCATTCCTATATACAGCTAAATAGATAAACTTCCTCAGAAATGGGCAAGTGCTATTTTGTTACCTCGTGTTTTTCATTCAAACACAACTTCTAGACATTATTCTGTGTTTATAAATATAGACTGATATCATGGTCTTTAATACATACTGTTCCATGGTACAGATACATTGTAATGTATGGAGCCCAGGGCCCTGGATGGATATTTAGGTAGTTTGTTTGTTTTGCTACAATAAGCCTGAGATAAATGTTCTTCCACATCTCTTTGAACTTGGACTATTTTTTCCAGGATAATTTCCTAGAAGTATGGTTGCTATGTCAAAGGGACTAACATTTGATGTATATTGTCACAGTGCCCTGTTCCCACTACCATAGCAGGGTTTGAATTTATTGCTCTCCATACCATAACCAGTGTTAAGAATGATGATTCTTTTAAAGTCTTGCTAATCTAAAAGGGGAAGTGTACTTTGTTATTATTTTAAGTTGGATTTCTTCAAGTATTTGTTAACTTGCATGATTTTTTCATGTGTTTATTGGCCATTTAATTATTTTTTGTGATTTGCTAGTTATTGACCTTTGCACATTTTCTGTTGCAGAATTTCTTATTTTTTGATTGCTTTGAAAGAGCTCCTCAGACTATTAACCTGGTATCTGGAATATGTTCTAAATTGATTTTTCTACTTTGTCATTTTCCTTTTATTTTATCATACTTCTTGCCTTATAGAAGGTACAATTTTTGTATATTCAAATCTCTCAGTCCTCTTAGTATTTCTTTCTGCCTGTGGTCCAGCTTATCAGAGCTTTCCTGGCCCTGAGATTATTTAAATACTCACTTACATCCAGTACTTGAAACATTAGTGATATTGATTATATATCAGTTGTTAAAGTTAGCTTTTTAAAAGTATTGAAAGCACATCTCCATAATATCTATAACCTAGAGGTTTTGTTTTCTTGACAAAATGTTGATACTTAGTGGGGGCGCCTGGGTGGCTCAGTAGGTTGATCATCTGACTTTGGCTCAGGTCATGATCTCATGGTTCATCAGTTCAAGCCCCATGTCAGGCTTTGTGTGGACAGCTCAGAGCCTGGAGCAAAAAAAAAAATGCTGATACTCAGTAATCATGGTAGGCACCTTGCAAATTTCTGGATTCAGATTATCCCAATATTTTAATCTTTTAAAAATTCTCTATGACTTGTCCAAATCAAATTAATGGATTATCCAGAATTTTTAATATCACTTCCATTAGAAGTGTTAGGTTTATCTGTGATGATTTTAGATTTTTTTTTTATTGTTCCACATTTTCATTTAGAAAACGTTCTGTTTGCCTTACACACTAGCCCTTAAAACTTGGTTGTATAAATAAAAGTTGGGGAGGGGAGAATTTGGTGACATTTTCCCTTTCTGATTCTCTCAAGGTGTTTATCAGTGGCACTAAGTCAGAATGCAGAAAAGTACTTGAGACTGTTCTGAAGAATAGAAGGCTGTGCTCTCTCCTGTCCCCTTTCTTCACTCCCAATGCTGCACCTGCGGAGTTCATTCAGCTCTATGGGAAAGTGGTGAAGTTTCTAAGTGAGGACAACAGTGATATGATTTTCATGCTGCTGACCAAGGTGAGATGTGATTCCGTGCTGATGCCATCACTGAAACGTAGGATCTAGTGTCGTTTCCGCTCTGTAGAAATGAAAGGCCCCCTGGAGTTCTGTTTCCAGGTAGACCCTTTCCGCATTTTGTATCGGCTTCAAGCAGCCTTTCCGTGTGGGGGCAGTGGCTGTGTCGTGTAGGGCAGTCTTATTCCTCATAGTAGAGAAAGGACTTTGCTCCCGAGCCCTCTTTAGAAACAGTACAGCTTTGAAATATTCATAATAGTAATTTAGTGCATCCTTCTTTTGACTATATCCTGAATTTATGCCGAAAATGTGTTTGATAAATGAGTTGTAATATATCAAAGTCTCTCATATTTGGAATAAGCCAGATATAAACAAATTGCCTTTGTCCTCATTCTGAGTAGAATATTAACTGAGACCTAGGCAATGAATTTACTTTGCCACTTGAGAATTACAGAGCCTTAGTGATTTTGCCTTCAATTGTATTTCTCTGACATCCATAAATCATAAAACCTAGGCATTTTTCTTTAGGGCCTAGAGACTGCTTTCAGTCTGTAATGGGGGAGAACAGGCTTTATAGTTGGGAATTCTGGAAGGTGATAGATAACAACACCCTGAATTTTTATTAACTGAGATAGGTAACTGCCATAGACACAGAAACATGGCTCTTTTAGATGGAGACAGTCGCCTAAGTGGTTGCTCTTTTTTTTGGCAGAGTGTGGATTCTTGCCTAGGAGGGAAAACTTAACCAAAAGTTTACTATACAAAAAAGCACACGGAACCGAGAAAGCTTTGTCCCTGTGGCCCAGAGCGCAGAGATGGAGGCTTCCGGGTGCCTGTTAATTATTGACCTCCGCTCAGTACTTGATTATAAATTCTAGTTTCAGTTTTTGTAAAAAGCCAAATGCTCAGTGGTCTTTGACTTTAAGTTTGCACATCATTTTCTCTACTTCAGCTAATTTCCCCGTGTCAGTAAAACTGCTTCTTGTTTCTTTTTTCTTTTTAGTTCGATCTTAAGCAATGGTTAAACGCCACTAAACCTCCTCTGTCTGATCGTACCAGGCTTCTGGAGTCCATTCACTTGGCACTTACTGCCTGGGGCCTTGAACCAGATGAGGATATTTTGATGCCTTTTAATCTTTTCTGTAAGCACTGGACTTACCTTCTTCTCTACCAGTTCCCTGACCAGTACAGTGACATTCTCAGGCTGCTGATGCAAAGTAAGTGGCTTTTAATTGTGACTGATTAGATTGCAGCGAATATTTGATGTGACATTTACCATTCTATGGATGTCATCTAAAAATGTAAAAATAAGACGAGTACGCAGGAGTTTAGAATTGCTAATTTTTACCTAAAGTGCTTGACAAACTGAAAGCTGTTTGTAGAAGAGGGCAGTGATTGTCTTAGTGATTGTCCTAAACGTTTGGATGGGTCCTGATTCAATAAGGCAGCACTTAGTATGTGGTGTTGGGGTCCACAGTCGTGCACCCACCTCTTTCCCTTGACTTTGCAACCGTCCTGAACTGGGCCGGGGTAGACATGCGCCTGCTTCCTCTGTTGACTGCAGATTTGGTGAGAGAAGGAAGTTGCTTCTTTGCAATATGTTTAAGGTGCCGGTCAGTTTCTCTGTAGGTCCAAATAGTGGATACATTTTGGTTCCCCTCCCCTTTAATTCTTTGACTCATGCTTGTTTGCAAGTAAATTTTATCTGTATATAATGGCAGACTGTGTTTATATTCGCCAAGGGACTGAGATGTGTTCAGTTTTCCACAGCCCCACTCTCCCATCTCCCCACCGCCCTGCATTTTTCACTGGAGTATTGGAGATTACAAGAGGAGTAAAGGTTGTTAGCATTTTTATTTTGGGAATTTCATTAGGCAGGAATTTTACTGAAGTTTATTAAATGAGATAGTATTTACTTCTTTTGTGCAAACTTCAGATAGTTTATAGGTGTAATGGAAAACTAAGATTTGCTTCATGCCAAATCTTTGTGTTACTTCATAGAAACCATTTAATGAATAGGTTAATGATTTTATATATTGGACTATCTGAAGAAATACTGAAACGTGTGGTCTCATTTTCAAGCTTTCATTGTTTCCTGTGGAGGCCAGTTGCAGGGTGGGTGGAGAATGGTTGCAGGAGAGGTGTTTGTATGATTTTGATCCATACTTGCATAACTAATTTTTGTTCTAAATTTTCAAAATTTGATCAAGTATACATTGTGGGTTTTTTCCCCGAAACCTGTTTAAGGAATTGTAAACGGTGTGTGCAGGCAACCATTGACTTGCATTTAACAGGAAATTTATACTTCCCAGGAAGAGTAATTCAGTTAAAAGCCTGGGAATGACAGTACCACCCCCGTCAGATTCTATGACTTCTAGCCTCCTGGTTTCCCTTTCCTCCCTGGGGAGGGTGTTGCTGTTCTCGGGGCTCTATCCTTTGCTTTTCTATGATTTTCCTTCTTCGTGGGCATGCCCGTTGTTTTCCCTGGCTTCACTACCCTCTTCTAGGTGTGCCTGACTCCCACACCTGTAACTTGATTCTGGGGCTCTGCCCCAGGAGCCGGACCACAGTAGCCATTCACCACAGACCCTTCACTGTTCCCTAGACATCTCTCGCTCACCATATTGCAGCTGCCTCATCATCTCTCCCCTCAGATATACCAGCCTCGGTTGTCCCTCGTGATCCTCATGCCATCTCTAGGGGGGAAGGGCCTGAGGAGGTCTGAGTCCTGGTCTCTGGGTGTGAGACTTACCAGGAGCACAGTGCTGTCCGTAGTGTCTGTTTTGCATGCTGTGTCTGTGTTGCTTTAGGTTTTGCCTGTTGAGGGAGTGGAGTTTCAGGAGTAAGTACGAGGAGAGAGCCTAGACTCTGAGGTTCCATTCTGCAACCCAGTCTCCCTTGTCCTGTTACTGCTGTTTCTCTCACAGCTTCATCCAGGAGAGTGGCACTTTTACCATTCCCCAGGTAGGGGCTGGTAGGCAGGATTCCCCACTCCCAACACTGGATTCCAGCCCCGATGACTCCGGCTGTGCTCACTCCTAGCAGAGTCACTAGGAACCAGGAAAGTCAAGAGGGAAAGTCAAGTGTCCGGGTGGACATTTCTTTTAATAGGTTCTCATTACTGTGGCCTCTTCACCATAGATCTGTATGAATTTGTTTTGGATTTTTATTTAATTTTCATTCGTTTGGGTTTGTTTTTAATTTTAATTTTTTTAATGTTTTTATTTTATTTTATATTATTTATTAAAAAAAATTTTTTTTTCTTATGTTTATTTATTATTGAGAGACAGAGATAGAGCACAAGCATGGGAGGGGCAGAGAGAGGAGGAGACACAGAATCTGAAGCAGGCTCCAGGCTCAAGGTCAGTGCAGAGCCTCTAATGCCAGGGGCTCGAACTCACAAACCATGAGATCATGACCTAGCTGAAGTCGGATGCTCAACTGACTGAGCCACCCAGGCACCCCATTAATGTTTTTATTTTATTTTTGAGAGAGACAGAGTGTGAGCAGGGGAGGGCAGAGAGAGAGGGACACACAGAACCTGAAGCAGGCTCCAGGCTCTGAGCTGTCAGCATAGAGCCTGACGGGGCCTCAACCTCAGCCGCGGATGCTTAACCAACTGAGCCACCCCAGGCGCCCCAAAATTTCGTTCCTTTGTAAAGTACACGTGTTCTTTGATTCAAGTTGAAAAAGTTAGTTTGTGAAAGATGCTAACTTGAGTGTTAGCGTCCTCTTCCTGTCTCATTGGGTCTACGGAGCAGCTAGCTGCTGAGCCCGAGGTGTTGGAGCCACCTGAGAGCCCTACAGAAAGAAATAAACTGCCAGCAGGGGGCAGCTTCTGCCGAGAGCTCAGTGCTTCAAAGCTCTCCAGATGTTCTCTTGTCCGATAAGCAGGTGTGTAGCTTTTGGTGTCTGAAGTTTATGTTCTGCATTTCTTTTCTGTTTCCTTCCCTATTTTTTAAACAGTTGGGACACATTCAAAATTTATATCTAACAAGCTGCACTCTTATGGATTATCTTTAAGAGCCCTGTGTTTTCCTTTGTCTCTTGCTTCTTCCCATGCCCCCTTTGCCTTTCTCACACACCTCAGAGTCTGATTCTTGCCCATCCATTTAGGAGCAGCCCAGGCCACCGCGTTAAACCTCCCCTCACCACCTTAACCCATCGGATTCTTAACCTTACACCCCTGGCACCTTTGGTCAGATTTTCATGCAGTGTCCCATGGGGCTGGGTTCCTCATTTCGTCAATTTTATGTGCTATGGGTCCATGTGAGAATGTACTGGACAGAATGGTTCCTCTGCTTTAGAAAAAGAGTTTGAAATCTGCTGATTTACTTTTCATATGCAAACACCTTTGCAACTGTGTTACAAAGTCTGAGCCCTCTGTCACAGTCCTCTGTAGTAGCTGCTGAAAGTAGACATTGGGTGAGGATTCTTTGACCAGTCATTCTCTTCCAGGTAATGGAGACGATACAGTGGCTCTCAAATTTTTTTTACAAGCTTCGCTTATCCACATTGGACTTTAAAAGCTTTGGTTTATTCTCAAAATGGAGTCCTTACATGGCTGATATGAAGACACTCTTGGGCTATCTTGTTAAAAGGCTGCTTGACTCAGAAATGGCCTGCTTGGCTCAAGACCCATCTGCCAGCAGCAAAGCAGGTAACATGCCTTTAGTGCAACAAAGAGTGGGGTGTTGTGACCTTCTATTAGAGGAGACTTGAATAGACACATGGAGAGATTTAAATCTTAGCAATAAAATTAAAATATCTGAGTGTCAAGAAGAAGAAACAGGAAATATGCAGTGTAGGTGTGAACCCATCTATGTGTCATACCTCTGTTCCCCCGCACAGGGGTGCCTGCTTCAGCTTGTCTCTGCCCCTCCTTCATAGAGCAGGGTGCAAGGAGATGGGTTTCAGTCTCTAACTCTTTCTTCCTGTTCTTTATCTTGCTCAGGAAAGGGTTCTGAATATTTAAGCTTTTATCGTTAAAAAATACGCAGTAAAAAATTATCCATGACCTTGTGTTGTAATAAAAATTCTTCAAGAAATTCCATCGCAGCAAATGAAAACACAGACAGACATACTTAGTTATTAAGAAACATGTTGTTTGCATATCAACATAGGTTTGTGAGTATATAGATGAGAAGTAGATTTTTTTTAGTGTTACCAATGATAATTGACAAAGGATGAGCTTGTTTCTTGTCTCTAAAAATTTTGCTTTGTTTTAGTGCTGAGATCCCTACATTCAGTAATCATCCAGCTCTTTAAGCCATGGATCTTGGTTTTAGAGGACAATGAAAGGTAAATTGTTTTTCAGATATTCAAATTCCTTTGAAATTTATAGACTTAAAGTTCTGAGGGGATTTTGGTATAAGGGATGCATTCATGGATTTGATTTTTTATGTAGGGCCGTATTTAAATTTAGAAAATGCTTCCTTATTGTTTTTTTAATTTTTATTTAATTTATTTTTTTAAATTTACATCCAAGTTAGTTAGCATATAGTGCAACAGTGATTTCAGGAGTAGATTCCTTAATGCCCCTTACCCATTTAGCCCATCCCCCCTCCCACACCCCCTCCAGTAACCCTCTGTTTGTTCTCCATATTTAGGAGTTTTTTATGCTTTGTCCTCCTCCCTGTTTTTTTTTAAATTATTTTTACTTCCCTTTCCTTATGTTCATCTGTCCTGTGTCTTAACGTCCTCATATGAGTGAAATCGTATGATTTTTGTCTTTAATTTCACTTAGCATAATACCCTCCAGGTCCACCCATGTAGTTGCAAATGGCAAGACTTCATTCTTTTTGATTGCCGAGGAATACTCCATTGTATTTATATACTACCTCTTCTTTATCCATTCATCCATCGATGGACATTTGGGCTCTTTCCATACTTTAGCTATTGTTGATAGTGCTGCTATAAACATTGGGGTGAATGTGCCCCTTCGAAACAGCACACCTGTATCCCTTGGATAAATACAGAGTAGTGCAATTGCTGGGTCATAGGGTAGTTCTATTTTTAATTTTTTTGAGGAACCTCCATACTGTTTTCCAGAGTGGCTGCACCAGTTTGCATTCTCCCCATAGAAAATGCTTCCTTATGAAGGGAACTTAAGACATTTTCTGTTAGTGGAATTGCTAGTCTGGTCGATCAGAGTTATTATCTTAATACTAATTTCGAAGCAAAACTGGACACTCATTTCCTTTTTTTCCCACAATGAAGACATTGAATAAATTTTGGTCCTTAATTTTGGAAAAATTGTTCTCTTGAATTTGAATTTGATAATACGATACTATAAAATATGAGAGTAACTTGATTTTATCCAGTACCTCAGTTATTTTTTGGAAGTAAGTTGGCTTTCGAATTACTGGGTGGGAATTAACGTGAGCTCTGCAATTAAGTGAAAACACGGTGTTGTGAGCATTCAAACGAGAGGTGTAGAACTGCTCATATGCAGGTAGCTGCCTTATGAGTCTTTTCCCTGAAAGGCATACAGACAAAGCTACATGAACTTGTTGGGAGCTTGTTAACATTACGCCAATGCTAGATATATCAGTATTTAAGGTACCTTCACAAATATTGATCTATTCCCAAGACTCAGAGAACAGGAATGGCTTACTCCAGTTCCACAGCCAGTGGGGGCAGAACTGAGAGCAGAGCTCAAGGCTCTGACTTCCATGTCAGATCTTTATATTAACCTGTGCTGCTCCAGGGGCTCATTGAGGAAAATAGAAAAGGTCCTGGATCTTTTCTTTTGCTAGAGAACTATCCTTAATCTACAAGCTTCAGGATTTTGCACAGATTCTAAGACTGCTGGCAGTAATGCAGACTGCTGTTTATTTCTAGGAAGAATTAATGGGATTTATTTTGATATTGAACTTTCTGGACCCAGTTCAGAAACTAAAATGATCATGTAAAGAGTTTTTTCCTTTGGTTATTTCCTGTCCCTTTTTGGTCATCTTTTTTGTTATGTGGATTTTTTTTTTTTTCTTTTTTTCATGTTTTGGGTAGAGAAAACTGTTGAAGCCACTTAGCGGCATATACCTAAGACATTTGAAATGTAACCAAGATACACAGGGTGTAAATTAGGTATAAAAAGGTGTTAATTTATGTAGGTAACACATCTCTGACTTAATTGCATTGGAATAAACATTGAGAAGGAAACTAAATTATATGGCTGATATTATGAGCCTCCCGGAATTTCCAGCTGTTAGACTGGTCTAAATGTGTCTTTGGGCTACGGAATACAGTGTTCTCTAGGACATAGGCGGTCCCTAGACTCTGGGGCCTAGAATAATTTAGTCATGGTGCTTTCATTTCTAAGTGTGTGCTTCTTTTATTTGAAGCAGCCAACGACATTACCCCTGGCTGGAGAGTGATGCTGTGGTGGCCTCGAGCATCGTGCAGCTGTTCACTGACTGTGTTGATTCATTGCATGAGAGTTTTAAAGGTAGGAAGAGGTTACGTTATGTCTCTGGTTGGATGTCACTTTTTCCCTAAGTCATTCGGTTAATCTTTGGCCTCTGCTCTCCCTACTTTATTTAATTTTATTTTAGTCGGGGGCCAGTCATCTTTGACCAAAGACGGTCACTGATACAACTGGTTAGCGTGAAGTTTGTAACATCATACGTTGTTTGTAAGGCAGCTCCGAGCTTCGCCAGCCATGGCAAATAGGCAGCCGTTCTCTTCAGATACTCTCTGGCCCTCATGTTGAACCTCGTTCTCTCTTCTGTGCCTCTAACTCCTTTTTCATCTTTTCTTTCTGTGCTTCATTTTGGGCAAAGGCTTGAGGTCTCTCTTCCAGTTTACTCAGTCTCCCCAGTCCTGTCTAACCTGCTTAACAACAACAACAACAAAAAGCTTTGAGTTTCTTATTTCAGTATCTAGAAGTTGTATTTGTTTTTCAAATCTACCCTGTTTCTTTTTGATAGCATCTGATTTCTTTTTTTGTTTAAAATTCTAATTGTTATTTCTTTGAAATGTTTAAACATACTTTGCTTTATGACCTGTGTGCGGTAGTAATTATCTGAAGTCCCTGCTGGGGACACCTGGCTTATGCTACAGTTGGATGTTCCTTTAGATTCTCATACTTAGAGGCTTGTTTCCTTGTGTATTTTAAAAAAATGTTCACTTATTTTGAGAGAGAGGAAGTGTGCGTGTGCACACACAAGTGGGGGAAGGGCAGAGAAGTAAAGAGAGAGAAAGGAGGCAAGAGAGAATCCCAAAGAGGCTCCATGCTTAGCTCAAAGCCTCACTTGGGGCTCGATCTCAGAACTGTGAGATCATGACCTGAGCCAGTAGATATCAAGGGTTGGATGCTTAACCGACTGAGCCACCCAGATGCCCCTCCTTTTGTATCTTTTTGTTTGTTTATTTGTTTATTTTGAGAGAGTGCGCAGGAAGGGCAGAGAGAGAGAGAGAATCCCAAGCAGGCTCTGTGCTGTCA